TGTGGAATCTCCATCATTGGAAATATATAAGAGCAGGTTAGACAGATATCTGACAGGGATGAGCTAAATTGTGCTTGGTCTTGCTGTGTGGGCAGGGGACTGGACTTGGTGACCTCTTGAGGTTTCTTCCAGTTCTAGTATTCTATGATCTTTCTCTCATTGCATCTTTGTGTGCTGCTATGTTGAACATGAAATTGGGTCTGCAGCCCTCCCTGTAGCCAACGCATCTATTGTTGATGAGAAAGTTAGTATAGCATGACTTGTGTTTCACAGATGCCAAGCAGAAATCATGTAATGCTTGGTTTTCTCTGTATCTGTGTTTCCTCTCTTATGTTTTCCCAGAGAATTAAGAGGCACAGGAGTCAGGTTGTGTTGGCTTATTCATTTCCCCTTCTTTTTAAAGATACTCTTCCTCCAAACCATTATCTGAGGGTCACCATTTGTCAGATATTTTTGGTTACACTGCTACAACTTAGTAATATAGCTTGTCTAGTATGGATGTAAAATCCCATTTAATAGGTTAACTGGTTAAATGCAGTGTTTAACCAATTAACCAATTAAAGGGGGGAGCTGGTGCCGATTAAACAATTCCATTTAGTTGGTAGGTATGTAGCAGAGAGAGCTATCTGGTTTCTGATGTACCAATTCAGGCAACTGACTACTTCTAAGCTGAGAGGTAGGGATTTTGTTCCATCCTGTTTATGTAAAACACCATGGTCATAATGTCTGACAATTGGACGTGGCAGGATCGAATAAGTCGGAGAAATGTGTTGCAAACTAAACAAACTGCTCTCAGCTCTAGTTTATCACCATCCTGGTCTCCCGAAGAATCCAAGTGGCCTTGCAAACTGAGGCTATCCAGGTGAGCTCTCCATCCGATAAGAGATGAGTCACATCCCCACTCCCAGGCTTTATGAAAAATGGCTTATGAATACAAATATATATAGTCCAAAAAACAGGCCATGTAACATATCTTTAAAGGTGCAATCTGTTGAATATGTATATCCTATTTTTGTGCATTTATAATTCTTGTATGTGAATTTAGAAGTGTGTATCTATTTTTAATTCTAAGTGTGCTAATGAGGGCCATTTGTGATACTCTAAGAACTTAATGGCTCAGTACTCAGATCAATGACTGATGAATGGTTTTATTTTTCCTGTAAGCCCAAACTGTGTGCCTTAGTAAGGCATACGAGCATGCCACTAGGTACTGGAACCTATCTTAAATATAGTACTTTTCGACATGGCTGGAAAAACTGAACAAAGGGTTCCCGCCCTGGGGGAAAGTTCATTTAAGGAACGGAAAGCAATCAGGTTTTTGTCTTCAGCTGGCCTTTGAAACTGCCTTGCCCACCCTAAGAGGATACAAAGGAAGAAACCTGAAAACAAGGAACTGTAAAGAACTCTGACAAACCATAGGCCCAGGCCAGAGTAAAGATCAACTATGACTTGAAGCATTTTACTTGAGATAAGAACAACTGTTTAGGGTAAGAATTTGATTGAAACAAATTTCTTAGTGTATTAGAATTAGCTGCATTTTTTGTTATAACTTAGGAACTTACTTTGATCTGTCCGTTTCATTTGTAATCACTTAAATCCTATTTTTATATTTAATAAAAACACTTATGTTTATTATCAAGCCCCGTGTAAATCATGGTTACCTGGGGAGAGCAACCACTGTGCATCTCTCTTTTTCATTGTTAAAGGGGGAAACATCTGTATGACCTTTCTCTGTGTAAAACTTTCTCAAGGAAAGAGATTTATTTGCGGATTTGGTCCCTTTGGGGGTTGGTTTACTGGGTGTTGTCAAAGGCCTTATAGTTGAGTCCTCCCAGAGCTGAATGAGTTCAGCATCTGTGTGGTTCTTCAGGGTGTGGTGACCCCAACTCTGTGCTTTGGCTGGGGGAGACCACAGCTTCTGTCCCAGAAGGACAGCAGTGGGCAGCTCCAGAGGGCAAGGCAGGCAGGCATCAGTGGCTTGGTCATCACGCTAGGAGACAACACCAAGGGTATTTCTGTGATCCAATCCATCACAGGATGCATCTGTGAAAATGGTCACACTGGGTTTTGGTGTGATGTATCTAGAGTAATCCACTACACAAGTGAAGGAATAACTCTGTTGTGAACTGCTACTCTGATGTTTATGAAGTCTTTGTCTGGTACCAAAGTAGATGTACCAGAGCCAGGCCTGTAGAGTGAACAGTGTTACAGAAGTACGTGACAGTTGTGGTCTGAAAATGATTTTCTTATAAAACTGTTCATGGTCTGGAATAGATTTGTAGGGAGATAGTCCCCTGTTGAAATCAAGTCCAGGGTCACTCCTAATAAACATTATAGTGGGAGTAACGTGGACTTTTTTTTGTTCATGCAGATTTCTAAAGCTGCCAGAAGATGGAGCAAGAACAAAGTTACAGACTGGACCTCCCTGACTGGAGAGACCTGTAAGAAGCCCCTCACCCAGACATAGACCTTTGTGATAACCATGGGTGTAGTTGCTAGCCTGAGTGAAAGTACTGTAAACTGGGAGGGTATGTCTAGACTACATGGCTCCATCGACGGAGCCATGTAAACTAGTTTACCCGGCAGAGGCAAAGAAGCGGGGATTTAAATAATCCCCGCTTCATAAAATAAACATGGCCGCCACGCTGTGCCAACGATCAGCTGATCCGGCACGGCGCCGTAGTCTAGACGCAGATCGGTTGGCTGGGGAAGCCTTTGCCGACTGATTCCTTATGCCTCGTGAAACATAGTAGACATAGTGTTCTTGTACTGTCAGAAGCTAACAAACTTCCTGTGGGATGCATGAATGTCCACATGAAAATAAGAGTATCACATTAAAAGAAATGATGATACATTTTCTCCTGTAGGGAAGGGATTACAGATGTCAGTGTAACCATTGAGAATTTTGATTTGTGAATAAAAACATTTAATCACTAAAGGTTGAGAATGGGTTTCTATCTTCCAAAGGTTGGAGGGAGCAATAGCAGATAGTATCAACAGGAGTAGGTGCTTCTTGATCATCTTGTCAGAAAGAACCCCTGGACGGTAAATGGGATTGTGAATAAATACAGAGAGCTGTATTTATAAGCCTTTGTACCCTCTAGTATTTGCATAGTGGTTTCAATGACCACTTGTAGTAAAATGGCTGGGAGGGCAGTCATGGCTTGTACATCTGTTTGGGTTTTTTCCCCTTCAGGGAAGAGATGTAAATGCCTAAGGGAGTGGAGGATTATTCAAGAGACTTTCAATGAGAGTAGAGACTCATCAGTCTTCTCATTAAATAAATTAGATTAATTGAAAAGTATGTCTTGTATGGTATTTTGAAGCTCCCTGAGGAACTACAAGGAATGCATGTCTCATAAATATACTGTAGCTATCCCTCTACATATGGTATCAGTTGCAGCCACTGCCTTCACTTTTCTTCCTAGATTGTTCTGAGACTTTATCTACCAATGTAGTCTTGGGAAGTTATAAGTGGTGCTTGAAGTACCAATGTGTTGGGTATGTGAAGAGACACTCCACTTCTTTGGCTAGTATGAAATATCACCTTGGCCCTTTTCAGGCTGGGGGCACAGGAGGCCAGAATGGGTAAAATTACCCTTGCTCAGCAGTTCCCAACCCCCAGTCTGTGGACCGGTGGCGGGCCACAAACCCGTCTGCTGGGCCATGCGCATTACCAGGCCACGCCCCCAGATTTTATTTAGTCCCACCCACTGGGGTTCCCAGGGAATTCCCTTCCCGCCCATTTCCCAGAACAGAAGAAGGGTGAGTGGGGTGGTTGGCAGACAGGTGTGCCATGGCTTGAGCCCCTACTGGGGCAGCCTGACCATGGCCCTGCTTCCAGCTACAGCGGCCCCTACATGGCCCAGCTGGTGGGGCCACATGGAGAGCAGCTATCCCAGCCAGCAGGGCCAAGTGCTGCATGCAGAGTGGGTGCCCCAGCTGGCAGGGCCAAGTGTCCCACAACTGGCAGGGCCAAGTGCCCCATGATGGGTGGTTGCCCTGTGACCGGTCTCCTCCCTCCCCTCCTTCCATCAATTAGTTGATAAGCAGGGGAGTGGCAGCAGGGTTAGCCCCCAGCTCTGGGAACTAACCCACCGTGGCTCTGCCCTTTAAATACATTTAAAAGGCTGAAGTGCAGTGGGGGACCCAGCACAAGCTGAGCCAGCTGATTCCTGGCTCGGTCCGTGTCCCACTGGTGATCACCAGCCTTACATGTAAAAAGGCTGGAGCACAGCAGGGGGACCCGGCACAAACTGGGAATCAGATGTCCCGGTTTGTGCCAGGTCCTCCTTCTTGCACTTCTGCTTTCTAAGTGTATTAAGAGCCGACAGGCTCTTAATACGTTTAAAAAGCAGAGGTGCAGCGTTTGGGACTGGGCCCGAGCTGGGAATCAGCTGATTCTTGGCTTATACCCTGTCTGTGCTACCCCCTATTTCCCCTGCCTCCTGCAGAGACAGTGCTATGGGGCTTTTAAGATGGTCCCCCGCAGCACTGGCTCCTGATAGACGCAGCAAGGAGTAGCGGGGGAGAGGAGGCGCGGGAAGCCATTGGTCAACTAGTCACTAACATCCCTACTGTTAATTACTGCCTCTTTAATTCTGGTGCATTTGAGGGGAAAGGACTGGACATGGGAATACTCTTTAACAAGTATTGGCAACTATTTTATTGGGTTTTTTAAATGTGTGTGCGCTGCAGTTTTTCAAATTCTTGTTAACCATCATGTCCCCCCGCCTTTGATTTGCCTGATATGTTAAAATTAGCACAATGAATACGCAAATATTTCGGTGCTGATCCACCAACAGTTTTTGAATGAGTTTGCCATGGTATAAAGAAGGCTGGGAACCACTGCCCTAGCTGGTTCAGTGATGGCCTGACTTATCAGAAGGGCCACCCTACTGTCAAAATCAGGACAGCCCCTCAAACTGGTGGTATGTTCTATAATTAGATTTTACCAACCCAATAAAGAATGTAAACTCTTGCATCACCAACAATCTTACCATGGTGTGACAATCCACGTAGGCTCTCCAGTCTCTCTCACCACCCAAGCTGGACTGAGGCCACCTATACCAAAGATCACAAAATATTAAGATTACTTTCAGTCCTAAAGGACAATTTGTACTTTAGATCTCACATAATAAACCCTTAGTTAGTCTATTACAGGATTGGTTACAGGTGTTGTTTTTTAATTCAGAAAAAGCAATAAGAAGTCTGGTGGCACCTTAAAGTCTAACAATCTTATTATGACACAAACTTTCATGAGTCACAACTCATTTAATCAGATGCATGACATGAAAGAAAAGGAAACAGATAATAGGGAAACAGAGTGTTACATCAGAGCTAATTCAATCATAATGGATATTGACAAGAAGAATACCTAAAGTGGAAAATTACTTATTGTAATGGGAGAGCCATTCCCAGTCCCTATTCAGACCTATTCTGATGGTGTAAAATTTGCATATGAATCCCAGCTCAGCAGTTTCACATTGCAGTCTGTTTTTGAAGATTTTTTTGCTCTGAGAATGGCAACTTTCAATTCTGAAAGTGTGTCCAGGGAAGTTTGTGTTGTCCCCCCTTTAAATCACTTAAATAAGTGATTTAAGTGATAAGTGTATAAGCATACAAATATATATGATTACTAACAACAAGAGACACGTAGTAATCTGTCAGTTCAGGGGAGGGGAGGTCTAGGGGTTATCCTTGGGAATATCTCTGCCTTAGTTTAGTCTCTCTGGCCCTGTATGAGTTCAAACACCAAAATGAACCAGAGCCAATGAGAGCTGCGAGGCTCAGTGGCCGCAGAGCCGGTAAATAAACACACCGGCGCAGCCAGTTGGCAGCTTTCTCAAAGTGGTTTCGTGGACACTGGTTTAGAGAACAGCTGATCAAAGGAGGATATGACAGTACATATATCCCTGGTTCTTGTGCTACGATGTGCTACATTACTGCTCATGATTTTATAGACTGCTATATATCCTCCTTTGATCGACTGTTCTCTAAACTGAACATTCCCAGCCTTTTTTCCTCTCTCTTCATATGGAAATTATGGTCCTTAGGTTTATGGAATATTTGCCTATGCTGAATATGGGACACCTGGTAAAATTTGCATTTGAGCAAATTCAAGGTCCGTCAGAACTATGCAGATATTCAAACGTTCAAATTAACATCAACTGAGCCCCCGCTAAAAAGAAATATTGCGTAGCTGGAGTCTTTTTATTTACCTTCTTTAAGGTTTGCATAGGGAGAAGCGACGCACACACAAACTGCCATTCACCTCTCTCACATAGGGACAGGAATGACTGACCTTCTCTACTCAGTGCTCTCCACCCTCCAGGCCTGCCTAGGCTCCAGTGATGGACCCGCCTCTCCTGGTACCTCCTGGCATGGCTTCTGGAGGCAACATGGGCTACATCTACATTGCATCCCTCTTGCGCAAAAGCCTATGCAAATGAAGCATGGATTAGCATATTGTTGTGCTTCATTTGCATAATTAATTAGGGGCCGTTTTTGCACAAGAGGCTTTTGCACAAAAAGGACCCATCTACAAGGCTCCATTTTTGCAAAAAAACTCCTCTTGCGCAAGAGCAGTTCTTCCTTAAAAAAATGAGCCCCCAATTAATTATGCAAATGAAGCACAACAATATGCTAATCCATGCTTCATTTGCATAGGCTTTTGCGCAAGACGGATGCAATGTAGATGTAGCCATGGGAGGCATTCAAGGTCACAGCCCCCTACTCCCAGATTTCTGTCAGTATTCACACCAAAGCATGGTCCATGTGTTGGAGAGGTCACCTCTTTCCTCCTGACCCTTAGCTCTCCTATGGCTGGAAGTAGCTTGGTCCATCCTGCCTGCACAATGTTGAAAACCAGCTAACACAGCCAAGCTGTTGCTGGCTACTGACATAACCCACCACCTCCTGTGTCCTGGATAAAGCACAGGCAGGAAGGTATTAAGCCCTAAGGACACATTGTGCTCCAGGGCTCAAAGAATCTGTCTGCAGGGGCTTCAGCGAACCTGACCAGAGAGATGGCTCAGCAGGGAAAAATGCCTACGAGACAGAGAAGCCCAACATGCCCTGGAGGCAGGACCTGGGGTAGGGCCAATGTGCAAAAAGGGTACTATGCCCTTGCCCAGAAGGCAGAAATAGCTTCCTCCTCACCACTGCAGAGCTTTGTTTAGGAGCAGAGAAGCTTTTCAAAGACAGCACAGTATGGGGCTTTGGCACATGCAGGGCTTGGCTCCTCCTGGCCTGCATCGAGGTACAGGGCCTTGAGCTTCCATCGGGTGTCAGCCCAGCCATAGGCAGTGGGAGAAGGAAGGAGTCTGCCAGCCAGAGTGTTGGAAAGCTGAATGATTCAACCAGAGGCTGATTCTCCACACAGTGCCAGGAGTGGGACGCACCCCACCAGGGGAGAGATGGAGCAGTGGAGTGGGGGTGGGAAGTGTGAAGGAGCAGAGCACGTAAAAGAGATTAAGAGGAGAAGCATATAAAGGGCCAGTGGGTGGGCAGCACAGGTGACATGTAACTGATCACTGCCTGCCTGCACTCAACAGCCACCAGAGCAAACAGCCAGTGCTGACTGGAAATGGAGCAGAGGGCTGGTGAAGTGCGTGCTGGCCAAGAGCTGGCAAGCAGCAGGAACTGCACTCACAGACCAGCAAGGGGACCAGTTTGCTCCACCCGACCACCGACCTTGCACTCCCACCCTCATCAACCACCACTGGACTCCCACTGACCGCTGGTGGATGGGCAGCTTGCGAGCAAGAATCCAACCAGCAGTAGGACCCACCAATGCCAATGAGGGGGGAGAAACAGGAACAATGGCCCATTAAAACAAAACAAAAAAGTAGGGGTGCTTGCAAGAGAGCTTAAATACAGGACTGGCCCATTAAAAATGGGACATCTGGTCACCCTAATCCTCAACGACTCCAAGCTCTCTTTCTTGAGCTCATTTAGACCCCATCATTTTGTATGTATAACTGGGATTGTGTTTTCCAATGTGCACTTTGCACTTATCAGCAGTGAATTTAATCTGCTATTTTGTTACCCAGCCACCAGTTTTTTGAAGATCACTTTGTTATTCTTCACAGTCTCTTTTGTTTTTAACTATATCGAGTAATATTGGAAATTGCCTCCTCACATCCAGATCACCCCCTTTTCCAAGTTGATTTAAGAATATGTTGAACAGCACTAGCCCCAGTATAAAACCTTGGAGAAACCTGCTATGTACCTCTCTCCCCTGTGAAAACTGACCATTTAACTCCTCCTTTTTGTGTCCTTTTTTAACCATTTACTGTTCCCTGAGAGAACCTTCCCTCTTCTCCCATGACTGCCTGCTTTGCTTAAGAGCCATTGCTGTGGTACCTCATTAAAGACGCTCTGAAAGTCTAAGTACACTAGAACAATTAGATCATCTTTGTCCGCATACTTGTTGATCCCCTCAAAAATCTAATTGATTTGTAAAGGGAAATCATGCCCCACCAAACGCATCCAGAATATGTGTCTGATAATTCTGTTCCTTACTACAGTTTCAGCTAATTTACCTATAGTTAAATTTACTTGATTATAATTGCCCACATTACCTTCGTAAACTTTTTCAAAAATTGGTGTTCAAATTAGCTATTCTCCATTCCTGTTAGAGGCTGAGAAGTAATAGCTTACTATGATGGAGTGTCCATCCCACACAAGGCCTGAAAGGGTTAAGGTGGCTAAATGAGTCAATTAACTGCTTAAACTGCACCTGAAGGAGGAGCCAGGGAGTAATGAGAACCAATTAGAGATGGTGCTTAACTGGGCAGGAATTGGAGAGGGTTACAGTCTCTGTAAAGATAAGAGAAAGCAGGAATTAATTAGCCCTGGGATACAACAGTAAGTAACAGGACTATACAGATCTTGACTGCTTGTTCCCAAGTTGGAGCCCAGTGCAGAAGGCATGGTTCCTCTACCTGCCACTGGGGAAGTGTCATCATTAAGGGGCAGTGAAAGAGAAGATTACCAGGAACAGTCTTAAGAGACTTTGATACACACAAACCATGGTGACCTGGCTGGAAAGCAAATCCATGAAGTGAGAGCAGCTGATTCCTGAGACAGAAAGACTGAGAGCAATGGATTGAACCTGCAGGAAGGGGCACCACCCGGACAGAGTGAATTTACTGGTGTGGCTAGGAAGAGGCCTTCCAGGAACAAGTAGAACACCCTGTGACAATTACATACCACAGTTAGTAGTTTTGCAATTTCAAATTTGGGATTTTTTCAGAACTCAACAATATATGCATGGAGCAGATTAAGCACCTTGGTCCCACCAAGTAATGGATATTATGCCTTTTTAACAATTGGTCATCAATCCTTACTATATCTAAGGGTGTGTCTAGACTACAGAGTTTTGTTGACAAAAGTGGACTTTTGTCGACAAAACTATACCTGCGTCTACACTACCGCTGAGTTCTGTCGACATAATGTCAACAGAACTCAGCAGTTTTGTCGACGCTGGTAAACCTCATTTTACGAGGCATAATGCCTTCTGTCGACAGAAGGCGTTATTGAATGTAAACTGTCCTTGCGTCTACACTGCCATGTCAACAAAGCAGCTTGCTTTGTCGACAGAACTGAATGTAGTGTAGACGCTCTTTGTCGACAGAAGCTTTGTCGACAGTATCTGTCGATAAAACTTCTGTCGACAAAACTCTGTAGTCTAGACGTACCCTAAATTATGGCAACAAGCCTGTGATATTGCTCCACTGAAGCCAGGAAAGGATGCCTCTGAACCAAAGAGCTTAAAGACAAAATTAGTATTATGCCACCTTTATAAACTTTATGAATGCCTTTTTCTTAATCATCTCTTACCTCATATAGTACAGGATCTAATACTGGAACAATCCAAATTTAGTCCTACAGTGACCAAATATAAAATATCATCTAGCGTAAAGAAGATGGATTTGAGAGAGGGATGATAGAAGACGCTATGTTTGTAGACTTACCAGTGGCACACAATACAGTCATCTGCCACAACCTACTTGCCAGAGTTTAAAATACGATAAGGGCCCTACCAAATTCACAGCTAAGACAGACATGTCATGGTCAGACCGTGAAATCTAGCCTCCTCCATGAAATCTGGTCTTATATATACTTTTACCTTATTCTATACAGATTTTAAAGTTATAACTAACCGAAGTGTTGGAACATAAGCTTTCATGGGCAAAGACCCACTTCTCATGCATCTGACAAAGTGGGTCTTTGCCCATGAAAGCTTATGTTCCAACACTTCGGTTAGTTATAAGGTGCCACCGGACTCCTTGCCGCTTTTGCAGATTCAGACTAACATGGCTACCCCTCTGAGATTTTAAAGAGGAGACCAGCATTTCTTAAACAAGGCTATTGTATGGGAGTCACATTATTGACATCTTTACTTCGGTGCTGCCTTCAGAGCTGGGTGGCTAGCGAGCAGCAGATGCTGACTGACTGCCCAGCTCTGATGTCAGAGCCATAGCTAGCAGCAGCACAGAAATAAGGGTAGCAGTACCATATCATGCCATCCTTATTTCTATACTGCCTCTGGCAATGCCGCTGCCTTGAGATCTGAACTCGCAGTCACAGAGCTTCTTGCATCCTGGCAAAGTTCCTAGAAGTGCATCTGACCTGGCCCTGGCAGAGACCCCTGCCCATCCCTTCCAGCCTAGCCAGGACCAGCACCTGGAGCTTGTTGTAGGGTAGAAACTCTCAGCCAGAGTGCCCCCAGTGCTGCGCCTTCCCAGCTCCAGGCCTAACACCCCAGCACTTGGGAAATAAAGGGGCCTTGGACTGCCTGTGTGTGAACACAACCCCGCCCCCGGACTACAATGCCCACCCATAAGGCCAATGCTGCTCTCCACACAATTGAGGATCCTCCCATATCATGTAACCCTCACTTGGGCAGAGGGTGCCTGGCCACCACCAGCTACAGCACAGAAGTTAGGGCGGCAATTCTGTAATTCCTTACAATAGCCTTGCAGCCCTTTCTGCCCCACAATTCCCTTTTTGGGTTGAGCCCCCTCTGCCTCATGGTTATGACACCATGAAATTCAGAATTAAGTACCTGAAACCATGACATTTACAATTTAAAAAAAACTGTGACTGTGAAATTGACCAAAACTGACCTAAATTTCATAGGGTCCTAGATAGGATGCCCAACCACCATCTAGTGCAGCTCAACTGATCTCTTCTGGAGAACAAATGTGCAAGAAACAGAGCCACTGGAGACAACAACAAAATGGCCTCCCACAGGGCAACGTGTTACCACCAACCTTCAACATCTATACCAATGACCAGCCCATAGAAATAATATGAAGAGCTTCATATATCCCTATGATCTATGGATTGCAAAACAGAAGTAGGACTTTGCCATTGTTGAGAACAGACTGTCGTGTGCATTGAACAACCTCTCAGCTTATTACAATAAGAACCAGCTTTGTATCAACACCTTCAAGACAGAGGTGACAGCTTTTTACTTATGCCATTGAGAAGCCAAGCAGAAACTGAACACAGCCAAGATGAAATTCCACTGGCTAATCAAATGAACCCCATCCATGCCTAACTTTCCTTCAAATCACATGCAGAGAAGATGGAAGGGAAAGTTAATGTCTGCAGCAACATCCTCCGAAAGTTGGTTACCTCAAAATGGGGAGCTCATCCAGCTACTTTGCAAACCATTGGTATAACAGCAGAGTATACATGTCTAGTGTAGGAACAATCTGTCTATGGCTAAGAAACTAGACCTTGTTCTACACTACAGTTGCTGTTTAATAACAGGCATTCTAAAACCAGCACCAAAAAGATAGCCTATACCCACTAGCACTGAACCACTTGATATCAGGAGAAAGATAGCAAGCCAAAGGGAAGCATCATGGCAGGACCAAAGGTATCCATTTTAAGGTCATATAGAAGAATAACCAAACGCCTTAAATCACATACGAGTGTTATAACTAGTGATGTGTCTTTGGATACAACAGTTTGTAAGGCACAATTGAAGTTACAGAATAAAAGATTACATGCATTTGGATACACTGAAATAGATCTGAAACCCCAGGAGGCCCTCCCCAGAGGGACCATAAAAACTGTTCAACATGGCGATACCTGAACTGCCTGCGTATGCTAACTGGTAGGTCGAAAAATGACATGATCAAACGGGGCTACTCGAATGACAGGAGTACACAGGAGTGCAGTAATTTGCAGGTCATGGAGCATCTGCTCACTTGCTGACTCCTTGGGGAGAACTACATAAAAGAAGGACCTTGTTACAGTGATACAAAGACCATAGTTCTGGAAAAAATTCCAATTTGTGACAAGGACACAAGACGACGACTGCGATGGGCTTTTCTGATATTCTTCTTCCTTGAGGATGTTAAATTTAATTACGTTTTAACTTGTCACTGAGCAATTCAGCTGTAGTCTCCTATTGGATCAGATCCTGTGCCTCATTTAGAACTAATGAATTGACTCTCTCCTCGTGGGTTTCAGGACTAGTTGCTCCAAGGAGCAGTCATTCATGGTGTCTAGAAATTTTATTTCTGCATCCCTTCATGAGGTGACATGTACCCGGTCTTAATTTAAGATTCCTACTATATTTGACTGTTTTCTTTTGCATACAGCGCCTTATACCCACCAGCACAACCTACTCTTGTCATTCCTGTTTATTTTGTATCCTGGTATTATTGTGTCCTCTTGATTATCATTGTTCTATCAGGGGACCTATAATAGGCAGTCAGGCCTAGTGCTCAGAACAGGAGACAGGCATAGCAGTTTGAATCCAAATACCAGAGCCAATAGGTTGAGAGAGTTGGAATCAGAGCCAGATTACAAGGAACTCAGGAAAATAGTTGCAGAGTTGGTTCCAAGGCAGAAGCAAGGCTAGGACAGGACTAGAATAAGACTGTGTGCAAAATAGGCTCTGGACTGCAGCTGTGGATGAGTAAAGCAGGAGCAAGGCTTACCAAGAGACAAGCATAAAAACTGACCTGCTGGCTTCCTCAGACAAATCCGGCATGACAGTCCATCAGCCAGCCAACCATTAGGATATCAGGAGTACTGAGCAGGTGCAGCTGTCGGGCTTGACTCCTGACATGTTCCATGTACCTTCATGTGGTATAATTGAATGGGACTCTTTTATTTGACTGTTTCTCTTCAGTCCCTACCTGTACTTTATCAACTTCTATCCTTCCTCTTTAGTAAGATACACAGCACCCCCTTTAATAAATCTTCCCCAAGATATGCCTCTATCCAAGCGATCTAAAACCCAGCAGCAGAACAAAATGTAAGTCCTGAGTAACATCCCAAGTGAGCTAATTATATCTTTCTTTAAAAGACATAATAGTCCCTACACTAAATAAGTTGGCACTAAATACATCTTTTCATTTATATTCCTCCTTATAACACTTCTTCCAAGAAGTCTTCCAACAAAAAGCCAGTCAGGAAATAAAGTCATCACAGTATTGTGTGAGTGGACTTCCAATAGGTCATCTGCTGCGCAAGGTGTCCAAACTGTACAGTCTGTCCACTTTAATATATAAACTCCTTGGGTGTGGGAGTTATCTTTTCCTCTCTGTCAGCCTGGTGCAGAGCATAGCAATGATTAACAGAGAATACATTTTAACTATTCTTCTTCTGGTAAGGCCCATAAAGAGAAGAAATTAAAATAATGAGAAAAATAAAAATACTGTAATAGGAGAATTTCAAGATGTGCCCATATCAAATCTACATATCATATATTATTTTAGCTATTTTATTTCCTACTGCTCTTTGCCACTGTCCCCATTGCTTGCTGCTCGCAACCTTTGTCAGACGTCCAAAATTAGGTTATAAACTCCTTGGGGGAGGGGTGTGTTCTGTTTGTTCTTTTGGGGACATTCTGAATGTTATTGAGTTAATCAGGAACTGAAAACCAGAAGCACTAATTTCCAGATTGAAGAAATGACCGACAGTTATTCCAATTAGCAATTCATATAAAGGGCAGTGGTTGATATGTCATACAAGCACTTGCCTTCTCTTTGATACTGTGAAGTTCTTGTGACATTTTTAACTTTTTTATTCCATTTCTAAAGTCGTCTTCTATAGTTTAACTCAAATGTAGAAACAACATATGAATCCAGATTTCTATTAGCAAAGGTAGGTAGAATGAGTGTTTAGAATCTTGTCTCTTCTTTATTGTACACCCAACAATTCCTTTCCCAGGTAAACGGACACCTTTCCGCCAACACAATAACTCCTCTTTCCTGTTTAAGAAAAATTGATTTCCTTGTTAACCTTACATTGCCTATTAGACTCGTGCCTGTATAATTTAGGGATTGTAATACAACTGATTTTTTTAATGTGTTACAAATTCTGATATAAATGTGAGAATGCTCTCAGTCCCAAGAGAGCTCAGTGTCTCCCAGCCCAGAACTACAACATTTATAAGAGAAAGTGAATGTATTATGAAATATTTCTCTTTCTAGTTTTATCTTGAGAATCCAATCTTTCCTGGGCAACTAACAGATTGAACAAATGAACACATTATGTTTTCTCTTGAAATCATGAGATGTGTGTGAAATGCATATAAAAAGAAAAGAAACTGACAAAAATGAGACTATACCATCCAAATCCTGTGAGGTGCTGCGTATTGTCACCTCCCACTAAAGTCACTTACAGTTAGGGGTGCTCAATACCTTGCAGGGTCAGACTCTTAAGATGCATGAAAATCATACTTAAAATTCCACTGCTGACAAATGTATTACACTGAGCAATGTCCTTCTTCCTTTGCATAAAGCAGACATGGGTCCAGACCCAATGACAGGTTGGAAAATGAGAAGTTAATAGCTGGATCTGACCTTTGCAGTTTGGGTGGATAACTAAATAAAATAAGGTGTAATATTTGCACATGTTTTCACTCTCTTTTCCTCTCAGGGGAAATGCCTCAGTCAGAAATGGAGTCCCAGAATTGCTTCAATAGCTTCATGTTCTCTAACACAGTTTCTCCCTTCATCTATTTTCCCCACTAAAATCCCAATTTCTCCTCTCCACACTAAAAATAGTTTCTGTAACTCTTATCTATAGAACAAGCAGCCTATCAGTTATAAGCATTAGATCCAATAATCTGATTGATTTCTTGCAGTTTGTGTTTTCATTTTGACTCAAAGTCTACAAAAAGACGGATATATGTACAGTGACACACATGAAACCGGTGCCAGAAAGTCACATGGGTGAGCAGTATCAAAGAAATGTCCAAGGATACGCACCAAGAACATGTGAGTGCATTGGGAAGTGCTTGAGGGGCAATGCACTGATGGGCAGTAATGCAGGAATGAAGAGTGAACTCGTTCGAATTATGCCCACTGAATATCAAACAAATCCCAAAAGCTCCTGAGGCTGCTGTCTATAACCAGCTACACATTCTCTATCACCTTAGTGTCTTTGGGTGACAGGGCCACTGTTCAGACCAAATCTGATATTCACAAATATCTCAAATCCCCAGAACTACACCCAGAGCAAGCTTCACATTCTCTGTTACCCTGAAACACTGAGGCCAGCCGAAGGCCCATATTTTCCTATGAACAGAGGCTTACTATTCTAGGCCTTTTGTTGAATATGAATCTCATTTTTGCTAACATCAGCCCAATTTTATGGAGCTGACATCTGAATGGCCCCTGTTGACAAGGACACACTGCACACAGGTAAAACACATCCATTATTGCTACAAAGATGTTTATTAGCAGAGTAAAAGTTACAAAGTGGTTTTGGACTCTCCCCTCCTCCCTGCCTGCTCCCGCACCCCGTCCCCTTCCGCAGGCAGGCATTACAGAGAACGGGCTAGAGAGCAAGAACAAGTCAATCACTTCACTTTCGCAACAGATACAGCAGAAAGGCAAACAGCTCCACTGACACAGAAAAGCAGGTGAGCGCCTGCGCTAAATGAATCCTCTTGGCAAACGTGCCAAAAGGCAAAGCAAAAACACAACTAACCTGAGTGCATGTAAAGCAAGCTAGGGATACTGTACCGGGTCTGCTGCCGAGGTTCTGCCTAGGAGAGAGAGAAAATAAAATAACACAGCCCACAGCAAGGGAGATGCGCACTCAACGGAGACTGGAGCAAGCGCCTGACAGCCAGACAGCATTTTGTCAGCAAGGCAGCGGCCGGCCGGAAGGTGACTTTTACAGCAACACAGGGGAGAGAGAGAAAGATCGAAAAGCTCCTTTCCCTTGTTCAGCATTTCCCTTGTGCAACTGGATCCTTTTCTTCTTCACGTCTAACTGGCGCGAATGCGCCCAAATCTGCGCTGCTTACTGCATGGAGATGGGGGCGAGGAGGCTTTGGGCCGAGAGAAAGACCCCCATTATCTCCCTACCATCGGCCATTACAGGAAGAAGCCAAGGAGAGTTTTACGACAGCTCCCAGCATTCTTATTGCCTACAACTCCCATAGTGCACACGCTCAGCTCCTCTGTTAACCCCTTTGTTACGCCCAGACAAGTTTGTGCCACCAAAGCTACAGTCCATTTCATATACTTCCTCCCACACTACTAAAATGTATAAACAACAGCTAACATATGGTACAATAACAACAGGCATTATGTTAGCTTTCTCCACTCCAACACACACATATAACAGGACTCCTTGATCATTTCTATGGAAAAAGATATTTTAAAATGCCCCAAAACAATAACAGATCTGCAAAAGCAGATATCAAATGTTTATAAATTGTACTTTCAACTTCAATCTTTTTTATAACTTGCTAATTTTCTTGCAGATTTCTACATTTTTGCAGTACAAAGCTGCTGGTCGCAATTATAATGATTTATTTTGCTTTTTTAACTTAGAAAAAAGCAGGTGACAGTCCTATTTAAATGTATTTTTTCTACATTTCAGAAGACAAATTCTAATAGACACATTAACTAAAAAATATCCTTACAACCTAAAAAGGCTTTTATAAGAGAGAGTTTATTTTTCTGCAATTGAACTAATATGAAACTCAGACTGTCATGTTTTTCTCTGTCTTTCTCCTTCTATATTTGTTACATGCATATATACATTTAAGATATGTATCACTAACACTTGTAGCAGTTGTTCAACTCCTTCTGTTTTAAAATGAGCAAAAAACTATGTGTATACAAATCATCTATTAAAAATTGAAAAATGAACCACACAACCAGAACCAGTTACTAAAATAAATAATTTAAGGGGGAAGGGATACTCTTTTATGAAATAGATCCTTACAACAAGAATGCCTGGTTTTTAATTAAAATCAGATTTTTTAAAAAAATTCCGTGTTTGCATTCTATAAATATAGTTTATTTGAATTAATTTAAAAAAGAACATTGGACAACAAATGCAAGTCAAATGGTTCTAATTTATAGTGCTACAAACTATAACATGGTCAGACGTGTAACTGCCTGACAGATTACACAGAAATATGGTTTATGCTCCAACCTCTGAAACAAAAACAAATATCTAAAAGCATTCTGCTATTTCTGAAAAATTAAAATGCCAGGTAAAGCATACTGACTGACAAATTTTTTCATACAAACATTTAACTTTAAAAAATAAATCACTATACATTTATTATTTATTTGAAACTATAAACAATACAGAAGAAAGCAACATAGGGATGTTTTCTTTTTAAAAAACCCTTCAATAATAAACACGCATGTACTCTCTTACAAAGTTTAATTTTAATTATCTTCTTTCAAACCTAAGTCAGTGTATCAGCTTCAATCAAGGAAAACACAACAGGAAAAGCATTTCTCCATGATACTCTTTTCCAGACACGTACTGTATTTTTTTAAAGACAATTCACATCCACACCATCCCAAATGACACAAATACAATTATTTAGAATTTATTCTTCACTGTAGCAATTTTTAGTTTGGTAAATTTTTCAAAATTTTTACAGAAAACACAATCAACTAATAGCTATCTTAGCGTAGCCACACTGTTACCTCTTTTTGCACATCTTCTGTCTATTACCCGACCTTAACTATTTTATAAGCATTTTACATATACACATTAAAGACATGAAAAGGATAACACTGTATAAGAGAGGCTCAGAAACAAATTGGGAGTGTAAATGGACTTCTCTCAGATTGCAGACGTACAGATAAAATCCCTGCTCACTGGTATGGGATTATATGTTCCATAAGGAGCTTGGCCTTTTCGTATTTTGTACTCGTTTAACCCCCCAAATTTATAGATTTTAAAAATTGACATGTTAAAAGGCCTTTATTTAAGGATTTCAATTAAAACAGTGTTATGTTTTGTCGTATCACCATAATCCCTCTTTTAAAATTACTTAGAATTTCAGTATAACCTAATTAAGTAATTTTAAGTAAGTCTTAACCCAGATACATTGATCTAATAAAAATGTGTTTTGCAAACAGGGAAACTGGACTCCTGAAATGGATTCCTCAGGTATAAACAAAGATATTAAAACATTTCTGTCCCCACAAACTGAAATATTAACTATTTTACAGTACCCATGTTAAAAACCCTAAATATTGATAGAAATACAAATTTTATCAGAAATCAAGCGTACCATTTCATTGCAATTGTATTTATTTATTTATTTATTTATTTTACATTAAGCAGCAGACTTTCTTTTCTCTTTATAGAGAGACAAGGGGACGGAGGGGGGGAGAAAAAGATGCTTCAAAACCCTAACTACCAATCTCAATGTATTATTTGTTTCAATACTCTCTTAAGAACAATTTCTACTGTTTTCAGATACTGCATATTTTACCAATGAAGATATTTTTGTTTGCATTTTGCCTTTTAAAAGGCTTCAGAATCACATGATGGATTTTATAGATTTTCAACCAATTTAAACCTTTTTTTAGTGCCACAAACATCCAGTTTTGCTAAATGAAATTTACTTTATTCATGCCTGAATTATCAGAGCGGAATAAATTGTCCAAAATAGAAAGATCAGGTGAACTATCATAATACAAAAGAACGTCTAACACTTTAACACAACTCCTTTCCCTGATATTAATGTTATATGATATG